GACGAGACTGCTGGTGGTAGTCCACGCGTTCATCACCTCCAAAAAGGACCGCCTGGCTGCGGCCGCCCGCGCTACCCAGAACTTAAGCGACACCACCTTCGGGGAAACACACCTCTGTGCTCATAAACTAATGCGACGAGAGTCTCACTGGGATCTTCACGCTGCCGCTGCTCGTTCCGGAAACGAGGCGAGTTCGAGGGAAAAGCGGGGAGGATTTTTGGGCATAAAAAGTGGAAAGCGCGAGAGACTGAGAAACAGTCTCTTCCTGTGCATCATGGAGGAAGAACGGATGAGTTTTGTCTACATGTTCTACTCCTTCGTGCCTCTAGCACTCCTAGGATTACTACTAGAGGCGGCAGTCTTCATATTCTCAGCTGTAGTACAGGTACAGTACTTTCCTTAACGTGTACTGGCGCTCAGCATTTCTGTGCCTTCAATGCTAAAAACAAATACTAACATAATTATGCTTATTGCTGCACTCTTCCTATAGGCGACTTTTCCACACCAATTACATAAGGATTTTGTAAAATATGGTAAAGACTTCCTTTGTTGCGTCGTGGTGTACTGTAGATCCTATGGTCATCCTGCGACATAAACTGTGATGGTAAATCCTTCCAGTTACCCAACATTAGTGAATGCAATGTCGGCGTCTTCAGTAGGTCAAGATAAGCAGTGGGGGATCTACCATTGTTTCGTCACAACGCTGCCTTTGATAACAGCGGTGTGTGAGAGAGCTTAAGCACCAGCAGTGTCGAGACAACTGGTTATAAACGCTGCCCTAGGTACAGATAACTAGCACGTGTGACACTTTATTACTTGTATATATAGATTGTACAGAGACTTGGTTGTCATGTTTACCATAAATATAAACTACTTGGTCTGTCAACTGTGAACACTACCTTGTAAATAGACAGAATTAGTGTGGACTGGGAACATAGCCTTAACAGGTCAAGTTGTTTATGACTTTGTACATAGAACCTGTATCTGAATTGTTTACACTGCCTCCAATACACAAGGACTTGGCTCTTTTTTTTTTTAATCAATGGCACAGGGAAAGATCAAACTAGTGCCATTGTCAGATCTACTCACAGAGGCTTCGTCCCCTTGCCAAAGATTGAAGATAATTGAAGGAGGATAAATCGAACTGGTGGAGGTTGTACAATGTGTGTGTGTGTGTGTGTGTGTGGAGGTTGCATTCCACACACACTTATAGCAGGAGGTATAAATTAACTGGTGGAGGAGGTTAAATGACACAGGGAACACATACTTGAGATAGGCAGGGCTGTGCAGAGGATGTGACAGATGGAACATTGACCACAAAGGTTAATGAAGGAGGATACACAGGTAGATAGAAACAAAAGAATTACGAATAAGGGGAAATAAATGTAGCAAGAGGAATAGGAAGAGGAGTAACAGGGATGAGAGATGAATGAAGAGAAGAAAGAAGTAACAGGGATGAAAGATGAATGAAGAGAAGAAAGAAGTAACAGGGATGAAAGATGAATGAAGAGAAGAAAGAAGTAACAGGGATGAAAGATGAATGAAGAGAAGAAACAAGTAACAGGGATGGGAGATGAATGACAAGAAGAAAGAAGTAACAGGGATGAATGACGAGAACTAGGAGTGAAGGTAGAGGTGAGCAAGCATTGTGTGTCCCTCATAAGGCAGTGGTCTAGGTCTTGTACATGTGACCTCGTTGTACTTGGCCTATTGGTCGAAGTAGCAGTGATGTTAATGGTGAGTAGTAATCAAAGGGGAGAGGAGATTAATAAAGACTACTACTGCTATTACTACTATTATTTATACTACTACAGTATCATCAACTACTACTACTACTAAATCATCTACTACTACAGTACTAATTCTACTTCAACTATTATTACTATTTTTACTTCTATTATTATTATTATTATTACTACTACTACTACTACTACTACTACTACTACTACTAGTACTAATATAAATAGCAATTAACAAAACTAACATTACATCCATTTAACATAAATTTTTAAAAACGTTAAAAAATAAATTAATTCCTAAGATGCACATAAATTTTAAATGATCAAAGTTGTTTTTCGTGTCGTTTCATATTTTTTCTTCTTTTTTTTTCTTCTCTTTGACATTAATGTTACGTTTGGTGCATGTTTGTGTCGAGTGGTGGTGGACGACAGCCGGACGGAAGAGGAATAACGTCCGGTGGGTAATGTAACTGTTGGGGTAGTGTGGTGTAAGACCCTGAGTGTTGTATGTCTCTCTCTCTTTCTCTGTCTCTCTGTCTCTCTCTCTCTCTCTCTCTCTCTCTCTCTCTCTCTCTCTCTCTCTCTCTCTCTCTCTCTCTCTCTCTCTCTCTCTCTCTCTCTCTTTCGGTTTATCTTCATTTTCTCTTTCTTTCTCTCTCTCTCTCTCTCTTTCTCTCTTGAAAAAAAATGAGAATCAAGTGAGAAAGAGCGAATTAAGATAGAGAAAAGGAGAGGCAAAGAAAGAAGACAATCACTAGAGGAATATATAAACAAGTTCCGGCGACAGAGAGAAAGACAGACAGACAGACAGACATATAGAAAGACAGCCAGCATATAGTAGACAGAAGACGTGGCAGACAGTATAGTAACTACTGAAGGTGGAGTACAGGCGCACCTCCAACACACGTCAGAGGCGGTGATCAAGGGAGGTACGGAGACGAATCCTCCACACCTGAGGTACCTGACAAATACACTAATTACTGATTACCGCGTGTATAAGATATTTTGAGAAAAATATGTAATTGAAGAGTAAAGGTTGTAGTTAATGACAATAATAGAAGATAGTGTAAATCTCTTCAGTTTAGACATTCATGCGTTAGAGTAATCGTACAGACAAGGGACTGAAGAACCAGCCACTTGAGATGTGTTTAGAGGATCCTTGAAGATAGTGTTGTTTTGGATACTGATTATATATATATATATATATATATATATATATATATATATATATATATATATATATATATATATATATATATATACAGTATATATATATATCTCGTGACTACGTGTTGTGTACTGAGGCCAGCTGGTGTCAAAGCGTCCTGAAGCCAGCTGGTGTCGTCCAGGTGGCTGTAAGGGGTGACAAGATAAGGTGGCCCTCAACAAGTGTCGCCTCTTGAGAACTGAACACACACACACTTATCTCAACTGATATTTCCTCGTCTTAATTACAATCTCCAGACGAGTGATAAACCCGCACCCTGACAGTCCCTTCTCCACTACCACCACCCACCTGAGTTAACCCTCACCTCTCCCAGGGACTTACTGTTGTCATTACTCTTTTTGTACTTCCTCTCGCCACCCTGTAATCCCCTTTTGCCGCTCTAGGGTGAGTTTTCATCATTATATTCCTCTCATTTTTATTTTTACCCCTTGGTACTTCCTCTTTCCGCCTCCATGGTGCCACAGCTTCCTAACTAAGGGGCTCACGTGTCTGCATGGTGGTATTTTTTGTACCTTTGGCACTTCCTCTGTCTCCTCCCCTCTACATCCCCGACTTCCTAGATGGTCTTTGTGAATCACCCTTCTCTTTGTACGCCTGACAACAGTGCAGTATGACTCACTGTCCTCACAGAGCGATGGAATATTGTCACTCATTTGAATATAGAGTTCCATATCGGCCAATTAATTACTTGAAGAGTGTGGAGCTTGTTTATACAGCTTGTGGGGTCGCGGCAGGAGGTAAGGGGCGGCATCCTTCCACCAGGATACACTCTTGGGTGTACCAGTGACCCGTGAGGACCAGTGGGTTGTGAGTACCTGACCTGTGTCGTGACCTGTCAAGTGTGTGGAGCCAAGGGACGAGGTTACCACCTGGTCGTGTGTCAACGCCACCCCACACTACCACTCTAGTCAGCTGCACGGGTGTCGAGGACGTCACCTTCCTCTCTCTCAAACAAGCTACACACACACACACACACACACACTCCCCTCACCTCATTAAGACACCTATGAGATGCACTTCACACACCCACACCTACCCTCCCTCCTCACCCCCCTACAGCAAATAGACGCCACTTTACGACACTTATCGAAAATATAATAAAAAATATCTTAACACCTTGAAAATTGGTGATTGTGTTTATTCATGACGTAGAAAATAAACATTATTTCAACATTTTTGTTAACACTGATATAATATACTAGATAACGAGCCTTGAAATGTGATACATATCTTGACTCATAGTGAACGTAAACAGATTTAAGATATCCATAGATTAAAAAGGTGAAAGTATACATAGTTGTGTGTTTAAGAGTGATGTATATGTATAGTATCAACTTAGTATTTATATTTACCATTCGCTTAATCTCCCAAATGGAATGTCGAGAGTTTCATTGTTTTGTTTTTTTATCTGCTAGTTTTATTATCATGTGTTTTCTTTTATCTATCTTATCTTCATATTGTTTTTATTATCATTTGTTGCCTCTTATCCAGCTCCCGTGAGTGAGTCTTAATGACCACAGGTAGGCAAGACCATCACCCTCTCGCCTTGTGTGGAATATGAACTGTTTTTTTTTATATTGTTGACGTGTGTGTGTGTGTGTGTGTGTGTGTGTGTGTGTGTGTGTGTGTGTGTGTGTGTGTGTGTGTGTGTGTGTGTGTGTGTGTGTGTACTTTGTCTTAGAGTATTCATATACATCCATGAATATATGTATCCTGGCTTACTCTCTCAACCTCCACAAGAGAATTAATGTATACCTCACAGCAGCTTGTTCCCACGTAGACCCACATCCACACACCCAACCAACACTTACCCACACACCCAACCAACACACATCTACACATCCAACCAACACACAACCACACCCAACCAAGGCACAACCACACCCAACCAACACACATCCACACACTCAACCAACACACATCCAACCAACACACATCCACACACTCCAACCAGTACTACAAAACAACACAGAAATCCACTTTACCTCAGTACCTCCTTTCGCTAACCTCTTCTCTCCTCTTCTCTCCCACAGTTCAAGAGGATGCTGAACAAGGAACTCAGTCACTTCTCAGAATCCAGCAAGTCAGGCAACCAAATATCAGAGTACATTTGCACAACTTTCCTCGGTGAGTACATGTTGACATCTGCTTCTTCCCGTTCTTTTTTTCGTCTCGTTTTCTTTTAGATATTAATGTCTCGTTTTCTGTTTTGAAGGGGTGACTTAATTATTTTTGGGGGGTGACGAGGAGTAAGTTATTTTTTTTTCGGTGGTGGTATGGAAGGGGAATGTTTTTTTTTTTGTTATAGGTAAGTAAATAAAGAAAAACACACACACACACACACACACACACACACACACACACACACACACAGAGTACAGATAGAAAACAAGATCTTACGAGAAACTGAAATATACGAATTCATACTCAACACTTAAGACACATGAAACTAAGTGAACCATTGTGACATAACACCATAACACGTTTGGTAGTTACGTAAGTTAAGGGTACCATAACCTTGTTTAATTGAGGTGGTATTTAGATAATTACCTCCTTAGCACCACATGATACCAAAGTATACCTGACGAGCATTGAAAACCAAAGTAGGTGTAGTTTTCTCTATCAGGCAGTGGGTACCAGAACAGTTTAATAATCTGCTGTAGAGTACCAAATACCAATACAGTGTAGGTATTTACCCCTGTAGAACATACCAAGGTAGGTAGGTACTTTAGTCAAAATATATAAAGTACCAGAATATGTGTTTAGATCAGGTGAACGATACTAAAGCAGGTACCTCACTCGACCATAGGGTACCAGAGTTGAATACCAAAGTAGATTATGTCCTAAAGTCGAATATAGGATACCAGAAATAGGTAACTCTCCCCCACCCTCCCACTACCTGTGTCGAGCCTGTGGTAACTCCAAAACAGCTTACCCATCTACAAACAAAATGCCAGAAATATTCGACATAATCTAAATATTCGACACAATAATCCAAATATTCGACATAATCCAAGTACGTGGCAATAATCCAAATATTCGATACAATAGTCCAAATATTCGACACAATAATCCAAATATTCGACACACTAATCCATATATTCGACACAATAATCCATATATTCGACACAATAATCCAAATATTCGACACAATCAAATATTCGACATCATCCAACATATCTCCCCCTCCCCCCCCCGCGTGTGTAGAGCTAGAGGAAAAGTCTTCAAATTTTACGGAGATAAAGACTTATCCTGCCAGGAGATACTGTCAGCGGAGATCAACTGTCAGCGGAGATCAACTGTCAGCGGAGATCAACAGTTGTGTGTGATCAGTAATTTATTTTTTTTCCTCCTTGATTCTCTTGTCACATTCATCCTGTGCTGAGATGAGGAGGAGGGGGTAGGGAAGTGTGTGGATGGGTGAGGAGTGGGGGGAGTGTCTACGCGAGGAGTGGAGAGGGTGTCACTGTGGTAAAAATCCTGCCTGCTGTGTTTCCTATGATTAGTGTTGCTTAAGTGGTGATAGTAGTGTCAGGATACAGGTGGTGATAGTGATGGTGTCGGGGTTTAATCATCGTTCTCGAGACAAATGAACACCAAAATCCGGATATGTTGTCACTAAAAACTGGATGATTACAGAATATTATGACAATTTTCCTTAACATTTTGTACTCTTAAAAAAGATTGTAAAAACTATTAAAATGAAACTTGAATAACTGTTTCTCACTTTAATACTGACTGTTTCTCACTTTAATACTGACTGTCTCTTTCTTTAATACTGACTGTCTCTCTCTTTAATACTGACTGTCTCTCTCTTTAATACTGACTCTCTCTCTCTCTCTAATACTGACTGTCTCTTTAATACTGACACACTTTAACATACTCATTTTAGCAAAGACACATTTTAACATGACACACACTCACTTTAACATGACACACACTCACTTTAACATGACACACACACTCTCTTTAACATGACACACACTCACTTTAACATGACACACACACACTCTTTAACATGACACACACTCTCTTTAACGTGACTCACACTCACTTTAAAACGATACACTTTAACACACACTCACTTTAACACAGATACACTCACTATAACACAGACACTCATTTTAACACACACACACACACACACTCACATTAACCCACACACTCACTTTAACACAGATACACTCATTTTAACACACACTCTCTGCCTTAGCGTGTAGGTAGACTAAAAACTCCAGAAATGTGTTTACCAAGAACGGTTTCCACCCGGATGTTACCGCTCACGAACGGTTGGATGCGTCTGTCCCAGCACCAGCCGTACATGCGGTGTCACTCGTGCGATATTTGATACGAAACCGAGACGAGATGAGATTCATGTGGAGGTGGCATGAATGGTCTTTGGTCCAATGTGACGTATGGTGTATAGTCCAGTGTGGTGTATGGTCCAGTGTGGTGTATGGTCTATGGTCCAGTGTGGTGTATGGTCCAGTGTGGTGTATAGTCTATGGTCCAGTGTGGTGTATGGTCTATGGTCCAGTGTGGTGTATGGTCTATGGTCCAGTGTGGTGTATGGTCTATGGTCCAGTGTGGTCTATGGTCTATGGTCCAGTGTGGTGTATGGTCTATGGTCCATGGTGTGTGTGGTCTATGGTCCTATGGTCCAGTGTGGTGTATGGTCCAGTGTGGTGTATGGTCTATGGTCCAGTGTGGTGTATGGTGTATGGTCCAGTGTGGTGTATGGTTCACGCACACACCATAAGTTTTTCTTTCCTCGTGGTGCCTTAACCCTTGTATACCCTTATTAAACCAGTGTAAGAAACACAGCGCCAGCACGAGCGAATAGCAACTCCTCTGAAAATTACTGTTAGACGTACGTTCGCCAATGTCGTCAGAAAACAAGTGCGAAATCTAGACTAGACAAGGAATAAACTGGCGAGGGTCTATCTTTGAAGGGAGAAAGAAAATGGGAAATATAGAGAAAAAAATGGAAAATAGTGAAATAAGTAAAAACAAAACGCGAAATTATAAAAAAAAATATGTAATACAATGAAAACGGAAGGAAGTGAAGGGTCAAGTCCTTAAAATGAATGTATTAAACACTACATAGCTGACCTTTGACCTACAGGGAATGAGGTTATAAAAACAGTCGTATCTGATAATGGGGTCAATAACCACCTTACTGAGAAGATTGTGCTAATTTGTTTTGGTGTTTATGTGAGATTTTGGCACATAATTGACTAATAATGATGATAATTCCTGTTATAATAATGATAATACTGTAACGACGATAAAGATGGTAATAATAATAATGATGATAAAATAATAATAATAATAATAAACACTTAATTTCTGATCACTTAGGATAATAAAACACTACATCTTAGAATAAAAATCAAATATATTCCTCAAATTATTACAACTCAGAGAAATGGAGTAGAGTTCTTAGATTCTAGGAACAGTATGCAACAACAGGTGATAGAGGCGGAGTTGAACAGGTGTAACGAAGGATGGTTTAAGATACGACCAATGGGTGACCTCGCAGGATATCTCTGTTCCCTTACTGGGCTCCTCACTTCGCTACTTGAATATTAATTAGCAGGGGAGAGAGAGGGTGGGTGGGTGGGTTAGGTAGGTGGGCGGATGTTAGGGAGAGTGAGGTGGGTCTGGCGCCAGTAGCTGTCACACCAATATTATACGCGACCTTCCCCCACTCTGAACATCCTCCTCCTCCTGCTTCTCTTCCTACTTGTCCTCCTCCTACTTCTACTCCTCTTCCTCGTCTTCCTCCTCTTCTCTTCCTCCTCCTCTTCTCTTCCTCCTCCTATAGCGTGGATGTATATAAGACCTTACATCAAAATATGAAACTGTATACAACACCGTGTAGTGTAAAGTGAAGCATCCCAGCACAGTTGGTCGACTTGGCCGCAACAATAGACCTCGACATTGTACAGAAACCAGGTTAATTGCATAGTTGTGCCAGTAAGTACACCTGTATACGATCCCTCACACTCCTTCTGAACCCTGACACCCTCATCCATCACACTTTATCATTTGCATTCATCCTGATCTCTTACAACCTCATCCTTCATATTCCTTAACCCTGACACCCTCATCCTTCACATTTCTCCTGATATCCTGACATCCTTATCCTCCACACTCATCCTGATCCCTGACACCACCATCCTAGGCGATCATTGCCGTCTCAATCGTAACTTGTGACAATAATACGCGTGATACATAAAAATAGATGGCTCACGTATATATGTATCAGTGAATGAGTCATCCAGACATACTTGAGGTCGCGTGAGCCCTCCAACTGTTGCCAAGAAAGGAAAAATTCTCAGCATGGGAGGAATGTTGCAACGTCTGGTCTTAACTGGTGGGTGTGGCGGGGGTGGATATGGTGTGTGGGTGTGGCCATAGTGGACCTGGTGTGTGCTAGGTGCTTGGGTTAGTACAGTAAGCACGAGCGAGGTTACAGAAGAGTATTCTCATGGTGTCCAAAGTACTCGTAGTTAGTTAGTGCTTAGGGTTGGCAGGGTATGAGACGTGTGTAGTTTACCTTGGTTAGGGTTGTCAGGGTGTAGTAAGACGTGTGTAGAGAAGGAGAACAACACCGTGATAAACTTAGTGATAAGAGAACAGTTATATCAAGTGTTTGGCCCTAAAAAAAAAGTCAAGCTGTCATTTCTTGTTATCTTTGTTATTGATGTTATCGGTGGTGTTATCAGGTGACACGTTACAGGGGGGAAGGGCTTGTACTACGACTCTAAAGTAGCAAAGGGGGAAGGAGAGAAAGGGGTTGGAGGATATTTTAACCCCCCCTTCTTATCCACACTCCCCCACTCCCCCTTTACTAACCACAACCTCCCCTGACTGAAAACTTAACACCCTCTCCTGTCGACCACAATGTCAGTAATTTTTTTTTTTTTTTGGGGGGGTGATAGGATAGTTAACCTTTAGTGATGGTTTGTAGAGTGGTAGTACTCTGTTTGCCTGCCACCCCCCCCTCCCTCCTCCTCCCTCCCCCTCCCCTCCCTCCTCCCTCCTCCTCCCTCCACCCATCTCCTCCCCTCCCTCCCACCCCCCCCTCCCTCCCTCCCTCCCTCCCTCCTCCCTCCCTCCCT